ACACACACACAATGGCAGCAGGGGTTAGAGAGGCGTGGTGCAGGGGCTGAAGTCCACTGAAGTCCAGGAGAAGAGAGAGAGAGAAAGTCCAAATTGTAGGAGGAGGTATGCAGGTAATATCGACCTATCCAGCCTGGAAGGGGTCCTTGTCCAGTAGATGTTGTGCAGAGGGGGTCACCAGCAGGGCCTCTGGGGTGGATAGGTGACGTGAAGCTGGTCTGGTCCATATGGAAATGGCGTTCCCACTGGGTCTGTCTTCACTGCCCCTCTTTATAGGGGCAGGCCGTGTGTGACCCTAGTGACAGGAGGCATGCCCAGGCAAGGGTCAACCCCTAGCATACTGAGCATGTGTGCTCTATGCAGGGATGTGCAGTTTCGGGTGTCTGTAATGGTGGGGTACAATGGTAGAGTTGCTGGTTCTGCAGGGTCTTTTGTTTTTCAAATGCTGGTCTTGTCTCTGTTCCTGGGTGAGGTCCGTAGTTCCTAGATGAATCAATGCAAGGTGATGGCCCAGTCGTTACAGGCCATTCAGTAAAGGCCTACTACCACTGTATTTCAGTCATGCCCAATTATTCTCATTCATCTGGGAACCAGTTTACATGGGAGGGGTACAATGAGTCATATTGTTGCAACATGGGATGCCCAAGCAGAGGACAGAAGATAGAGGCTTGACATATAAAATGGAAGCTTGACATGACTTTGGTTCACTTACAAACACAGGCCTAAACCATACAATATCCATATGAAACAATAAAAATCAATACAAAAATGATAATAATACAATATACAACAGTAAAAATAAATACAAATATAATAATAATACAATATAAAACAGTGGATATCCAAAACCAAAAACTTGCTACCAAAATAAAAATGTTTAAAGCTTATCCTAAGTTTGAGCTCACTTATACTTATCTATAGGGAATAGAGAGGGAGAGAAAAAGTCAGAAATGGTTGAGGAAGGGGAGCGAATGCAATAAAAAAAAAAAGAAAAAACTGGGGGGTTTGCTACAGTAGAATGACTAAGATGTCCTGTGGTAGCCCCAGAAGGCATGAGTTTGAAGCATTTCTCTGAACTTGTGCTGAAGGCCCCCCTACTCAATACTGTTCTAAATGAGCATCTCATCAGTCAAGGGTGAAAGTCAAACTAAAAATGGGACGTGATGTTCTCTTATGTGCTATTGGCTACTGAAACTAGTGTCCCACAACTGGGATACCTCAAAAGTTGCTAGGCTCTGGTGTTCATTCTGACTGACCACACCATCAATTTCTCTTCCTTACAGAATGAACCCTGCAAAACCCCAAATACTGACTCACCATTTGGATCGAAAGGGGTAGCATTACTATGCCTGAATTCAGAACTTATTTGTACTTCACAAGTATAGTAGAAATATCTCGGACACCTGAACATAAAACTGTGTTTCTTTTATCCACCGTTAGCCTTTCATATTTATTTTCCTTGCTGTGTAAGCACATGTAATTACTCAACATAATTTAAGGATCTGACCATGGAGTGCTTATGTGAGAAAAATTGTCATTGACTTCAATGTACATTGTACCTGTGAGGAGACTTCAGAGTGTAGCTATGCCATTAGACTGTAGCTCTATCATTCCAAAGTGACAGGCTGTTTTGACATCTTTCCTAGCAAATACAAATGCCTTAAATATTTCACTCCTGCTAGCTAGCAAAGTCTCTGTAGTTTTAGATTATTTTCCCAAGTGAACTTGGAGAGTTAAACTGTACCCTTAGATGCCTGTGCTGCTCTTGTTGGCAATAAAGGCGCACACACACACATCTGAAGGCAAAATCTGGATGTTACTCAAGCCACGGTATAAACTTTAACATTGAAAATGATCTAAGCGCAAAAAAATGAAGACAAAGATATCAAGGTACTGTACATAAATACAACATAAAAGAGTGCCTTACCAAATATAATGTGGAGCAAGGACTACAGAAGAAAGGTGCAAAGAGACATGCTAGAAAAGCAAACATCTGTTTTATATTAACAAAGGATGACTGGATAAAATAAAAAAAAATACTCACCACATATTGGAAGATCGTGGCAAAAAAAATTCTTTTGAAATTTGGAAAAGAATGAGGTAGAGAAATCTGAAAATTATAGGAGACTTTCATAAACATAAACTCTTAATCAAAATAAGCAGCTATGGAATACAACTATAATGGTGATTTTGCATTTAGAAGCATGTCAGCTACATAAAGATGAAATCCTTGGTAATGTTGGGGGAAAGAATAAATGAAAAGTTGGTTTAATGTATAAAGTCTATTATGATTGAATAATTCCTGATAAGATGCAGACAAGCCTCAATGGATAACATAATATTTTTATAAGATATGAAACTAAAGAAAAATACCCTCGTATCTATATTAAATCCCAAAGGGGACAGGACACAAGTTCCTGACACCCATGTGAAATATTTAAGAATGTATAAGTATATTTGTAATGTTTGTGTGTAACACATAACAAAGACTGATGGATAGATGTATGTACATGTTCCCCTACATAACAAAAACATTCAAAGATTGTATTTAAAATTTTTCTTTTATCCATTTTAATTTCTTAATAATGTATAATAAGGTTTTCAAGGGGAGAAAAGACATAAATTGTGTCCTTTTTATTCCCCATTCTCTCAAAAACCAAAATATCATTTTAAAAAACTCCCACACAGATAACAATTAGAAGTGGAAAAAAATATGATTTCCTTCTCATATCTTTTTATTTTTCTCCTCATATTAAGTACTTCAGGCCCTTCACCAGCCCCCATTGTAGTCAGCGGGAATCTTTCCTTTCACTTCAGCGTGAGTTGGATGGAGCCCTAAATGACTTTCATGTACCACATCAGGGCTCTGGCTGTCCATCAAGATTTCTATTTTCTCTCTGCTAATATAACTCAGAATTGGTTCCCACTTTCCTCTAGCTTCCTCTTTATCCCACAGATAAGTTTATCCAGGATTTTTAATGTAAACTACAGAAGTGAGTTGCATAAACTCAGATCCATTAAAATACCCCAATCTTTGTTAATGTGCAGTCTTTTTTATCTCTAACTTATGAATCCTGCCCAGGCTGGTTGTAAGGGACCCAGGGTTGTTGCTCAGACAGTTTTCCAGTTACTGCTTTAAAATCAGTTTATTCCAAGTACATGTTCCAGTGAATAACTGACCACTATCTCCAATACTAACCATGGAAGATTACACTGCTTTTGCCCAAACTTGAAATTGTTTGTGTGACCTCAGGTTCTTCTTCTGGGCAGCTTCACTATGCAGGCAGAAATACTGGAAAGATGACAGACAAGGGACCTGTGGGAGCTATGGTTCCCACCTACAAAAAATGGTATTTTGGGGTCAATAGCAGGAAGTATTCCCTTACGCATTCTCTTGATAACTGAACTCATAGCCTTCTTCATGGTACCTAGACCCTTTCCAAAGCCATCCATCTCCTCCTACTCTACATTCATCCTCCAGGAATGCATACCTCATCCAACATTTATAAAAAGAAAATGATTGCAGCCCCCATCAAGTTATTTACAAAGCTAAATATATCATAGGTTTACTGTGTATTTAGTGAAAGGAGCTGTAGTGAGTGGCTAGTTCTTCAGTTTTGCCCTTCTGTCCAGTTCACTCCCTGCTCAAGTTCACCTAGCAAAGCTATTGTATAGGAGGTATGGCAGCAATGTTTGTGTGTGTAGTAGAAGAGGGAAATGTGCCTTTATTTTGCACCATGTTTCACAACCCCCAAAAAATCCTATCTAAAGGCGTGACTTCAGTGGAGCAAATCCTGAAATATCTACTCAGGCAGATCTCTCATTGATTTTATTGGGAGTTCTGATTCACTGAAAACTGAAGGCCAAGTTCTGTTCTGGGTAATACTAATGTAAATACTCACAGCACAATTTTCTCCTGATAAAGGATTCAAGATCTGGCCTTGTATTTTCCTTTCTGTTTGGCTCCCTACCACAAAGTGCCATGGTTCATATGCTTTCTCTCAAATGCAGAAAAAAAACAGCTTTTAAAAAGATCAATATTACAAATTACATTATAGCTGTCTCCTGGTATCTCCCAATATTTACAAACTAGAAAATAAAAATAACCCTCTGATTTAATATAATCTAATGTACATGAAAATATCAAACTATTTTTTCATCTCTCAATTAAAATGCTGTCTTAGAATGAACACTTAAAGATAACTCTGCATGAGCTTTTTTCTTGAATAAAACCAAACATTGTTTCTTGTCTGTAGTAAATATAATACCTACTGCATGCAGCAAGCTATGCAGCAGATATATTTATTATATTTGTTAGGATGTTAAAAAGCCAGCAACTGTTTTTAATTTTGAAGGGTTATATTAACAATTGCTTTATGAGATACTTGCTTAAGAGTGCAGTTTATAAACATTAGAGACCATTTATTCTTTTAACAGTGTTATCCTCTTATCTGCTATTTCCTAATGGAGTACTTTGTTTAACATGTAGCATTTGCATTAACTGCACTACAATACAAGTATTCTTTCTATCAGGTTCACCTTTTTAGTAGGCAGTCATGTGTGCATGTATGTATGTTAGCAATTACTGATCCCTTTAGTATTAACCTAATCAGGCTTCAGTTTGAGATTATCTAATCACCACTTTTGGTTTATGCATTTAGTGAGACATACTACCCTTTTTACATTATACGGTTGTGTTAATATGCATAAGATAAAATGCAACAAAAGACAAGATGTACTTACAGTGTTTTGTTTTTGTACTTCTCTCCCTGACTGTTGTCCTAAATATATTTTCAGACTATGAAGCAAGAAATAATTACATTCAAATTATATCCATGCTTGAGACTAAATATGCATGTAAGCTACGTGTTATTTTAAAACTCCTTATTCTCTAATCTTTGTTCCAACTGCTAAAAATACTGTAAGAATGCTGCTGAAAACTATTTACAGGTTTCTGGAGGAAAGAAATCCAGTTAGGCCTGCAGAGGGATACACATGATAGTGTCTAAAGGCCCCAGTCAAAGAGTAGAAGAAATGAAACATTCTACTGTGGAAACAGAACGAAGTCCTGGACTGGATGCAATCAGAGAGAGAGCTAAAAACATGTAAAAGAACATTTAACCGTATAACGAAGACTTATTATTTTTATGTACTGTGCCTGAGAAGAACTGCTTGTTATGTGTACTCATCTGGAGGCTCCCTGAAGGGGTGCTGACATACATCAGCATTGTGGCCTTAACCTGCAAGAGACAAAGAAAAGGAGGCTATACTGGTCATTAATGATATGATTCGTGATATTATGGTTATTATTAAACAGCAGACCTGTTTGAGTCAGAGACCATTATAAACTCCATGTGAACCCCAGGAGTGACCAACAGATCCTACAAAGCTTGAACAGTAGTTCTCAATTGGACTTGAGACTACCCTTGTTTGACTTAAAGAACCCCTTGCTTGACTTAAGGCATCCCTCCACGCATTTTTTGTGACTGAGAAACACCCCATTTCAAGAACTAATGTATTTATTTAGAGCTTGCCTCATTGCAGAGGGGCTAGGCAGTGGGGGCATGGTAGTGGATAAGCCTGAGTCATCATTTATCTCTCCACACCTTACACTCCTTACGCTTTGAGGCATCCTTCAAAAGGTCTCACAACTCCCCACAGTGCCCTAGCACCCTGGGTGAGAATCAATGGTTTAGAAAATTCACTGGTGCAGGCAGAGTAAAAGCACCATCTGAAGAAGGAGGTCCATAAAAGAACCAAAATATTTTCATTAGTTGAGGAATATGCAAAAGAGAATAAGGGGTAATTATTAATTAGAAGATAAGCAACTTTCTTGGAAAATTGCTCTCTCCAAGATAGAGAATTTATGATGTCATCTGTATCAAATGGCATCACATGCCCAATACTCTTCTGCAACAGTGGCAGTCAGAAAAAAATAGAAAAGTAATACTTTATTACCCCCTAAGCAGGGTTCAAATTACAGGGCGGTGGGGGGGAGGTTGGGAGGGTTGAGCTCTCCCCTACCCCCACACCTCCCTAAGAAACAAGAGCTCCCCTGTAAGATTTGAAAGTCACAGCCTGGGAGGGTCTATAATTTTATTAGCGCAACCCAATATGTTTTGCAGACCCCTCAAGAGTCAAAGTGTAATTTAAACCCTGCCCCTAAGTAGCATGTGCTCTTGTTGATCAGTACACTAGTCCTTATATACAAGATGCCTTAGGTACAAGTTTGTTAGGGAACGTGTGGTTTTCAGTGGCAGGAGTTTGAAATCTATATTACCAAATTCTACCCAATTTGAAGATTGATCTTGGACTTCTATCTATTCTATACCAGGTAAGTCTGTAGTACTGTACCTGGTACAGTACACAAGATCATGGAACAAGTTGAGAGATATAAATGTGTTACAAGTATTAGCTTATTTAGATGATCTAATTATACCCGGGAAATCAACTGATAAATGCCATTTCTGCAGATCAGCTAAGGACATGTATGCCTCTACCCAAGAAATTACAAAGAGCTCAAGTTCTTTCTAGGAATTAGTGAATATTATTATTATTAGCAGCAGCACCAACATGGATTCATGAAGAATTACACACGTTGAAAAGCCACTGAATGACCTCACCAGGCCAGGAGGAAGAAAAGTAAAAAGTCCATAGAACCATGTGAACAAAAATATTAAGATCCCTTCAAATCCTTTGGGAATTGATAGGACAAAAAGGTATTGGAAGGCTGTTTGAGAAATCATGACCCAATTTTAGTCTCTGCTGAACTAAGCAAATCTTTTTGTCCTACATACAAATGCCAGTGTGGAAGGCCTAGGAGCAGTTTTATACCATGAAACTGAAGGAAAGCAAACTGGTGGTCTTTTACATCTAAGGGTCACAGCCCCAGTACAATGCATAAGGATGCATAGTGATATATTCTTTCCCATCCCCTGAAAGTGTTACATTAGCTTTCGAAAGCTACAATTACATTAGATGATTCCCCATTGCTCAGGTTTAATGGTGTTCCTTGGCAAAAGACCTAATGGTACATAAATCATGTTTGTGGTAAAGTACTTCCTATAAAAAGAAGTGGGGAATTCCAGAAAAGATTATCCCATCCCTTCTGGGGGCTAAACTACAATTAAAAGAATGCAACAGAGGAACCAAACAAAGGAATGTAGCACCAAACACCACCAGACCCTCTATAAAATCAGCTGAACAAATTGCTGCTATCAAAAAAGCCAAAGCCTATGAGCACATTCATTTCAGATATTTAGGAGTGGAAGAACCCTGAAACTCTTGTGGACTTACTGTATTGGCCTTAGATGCCTGAGGACACTTGTAGGAAACAGGAGTTATGTTCAATGTATTCAAAACTTTATCTACTAGAACTGTGTAGCTGGGAAATATCATCAACAGCAAACTTTTGGATCTTATTTACATCAATTTCCTGTCTGTAAACAGATCAGAAACATGTGGAAAACATCTGAGTTCCACCTGCCACTTTACCTACCATGCTCAGTCATTCCCAACCAGAGATGACTGTATGCCACAACATTTACTCAGGTATTGTAGAAAAAATACTTTTCAGTATATGGATTTCCAGCATGGTTACACTTAGACCAAAGAAGACATTTTGATGCTCCCCTTTTGATCTTTCCCCTTTAAAAGAAGTGCTTAGTACAGTCGGGCAAGTCAATCAGATGTTTTAATATGTTGTAGACTTTATGTCCAAAGCAGAAGTCAAACTGGAAGCAGTACATTTCATATGCGACCTAGAAGTTCCTGTCACCTCACCCAGAGTGTCTCTGGGGCTGCTTCCCTTCCTGGACACTCTATGTATCCTGGAGGAATTACTCTATGTCATGTAAGGCACAAGCAGAGAAATCCTCAAAGAACAAAGCTAGAGAAGTTACATAATTTTTCTTGATGTCTAAGCAAGAAAGCCAATTACCCAATTACTTATTTTTTGGCATGTTTTAAGTTGGAAACAGACATGAAACTCATCACTGCCATGTTGCCATGTTAAGAGAGGAATGAAGAGTGGCTAGGACTCATAAGACCTCAGATAAAAATAAGTATATATATGATGTGCTTATTTCAGAAGCTCCTGTCAAAGAAAAGAGTTCTGTTATAAAACCTGGCTATTGCCAGCAAGAACAAAATAGGTGCTCACGATATTACCTGTCTATGACAAGATTATGAACTGTAACAGTCTATAAGGTAAGACTTGAAACTGGGCCCAGTTAAATAAAAAAAGGAATGTGTAAAACCTCCAGTTCATATCCATGAACTGAAGAACATGCTCCATCTACTTCAGGACCACAGCAGAAAAAGGATGCTATGAAGGGCACAACCAAAGGCTTACTGTAAGCTCCTAGGGGGGATTGACTATTGGCTCCTATGGGCAGCCTGGACAATGAATTCAAACAAGAGGATGATAGCACAGTGTAACCTGAAACAAGACTGTTGTCTCTAGCTTGAGGTGACCTGACCAATCTCAGTCATTTACATCTAAGAGAAATAATGTAAGGCCACTGCTTTTGGCTTCAGATCTCGAAGTAGAAGTATTTATGTATTATGATCTCTTGCTATAATCCCTGCCATGAATAGAGCCAGACAATGCAGATGAAGGACTTCACTAGAAAAGACAAAAAAGAGAGCTCCACAGCAAGGGTGAAAATAAAGGCCAGCAGTACAGATGGATGGTAGTCATTGAGGCACATCACCTTAATAAAACAAAATCACTTTGCTCAATTAGTTGGTTGCATCTCCTGGAGGGTCCAGAGGACCAATTCCCTTGAGAATGGAGCCAAACTTACAAAAAGACTGCTGAACCATTCCTGTTCACCAGCCTAAACTCTAAATGATGCTTGGTGGATGGGTAAAATAATGCAATCAATTTACACGTAGCACATGCTCACTGGCAAATATGAAATTAGATGGACTTCTACCAAGATTACTAGGAAAAATGGATAATTTAATCCCTAGAATTTCTTGTATGGGCTCCAGACACTTTAGCTATTTGTGAAGATAGATGATGGATTCATTGAACAATACTGTCCAGAAAGGGTACAATAATGAGATGATTCCTTTGAATCGAACCTAGCCTTAACTGATTAAAATGTGGGTAAGGAATTATTGGGTTTCTCCCAGTATCATGCTGCAAAAATGAAACCTAACAGTATCTTCCTTTCAGTAGGAGAGAGCTCCCTGGTTTATAGTTTAAACCTAATCAGTACTTCAATATTTTTAGTTAGTGACATGACCTCAAGTCTCCATTTATGCAAAAAGCTTATAGCATCAAAAAACATTTAGTCCTGTCAGAGCTGTATTCCCAAGGGAAAGTTCGTCAAATAATAATTTTATTGTCAAACTTTAGTCCCACCATTAAAAATTCTTCTACAGAATGAAATGGGTCACCCATATATGTAAAACTATCATTTCTTTATTCCAACATGTATATGCCAGATTTTGTAAGATTTTTAAAATTATCGTGCCATCATAAGGCTAGTGAGGATGCCACCTTACTGTGATACAATTTAGAAATCCTCATATTAGATAGATAAATTAGGTACATAATTGGTTTGTAACAGAAATAAGATCCAAGAGAGCTTGGAATCCTAAAATGTATATTCTATCTCTATGAATAGAGATGTTAATACCCTCTGTTTTATTTCTATGCAAAATGAGGCTAGGATACCTTTGCCTAGGAGATGTAATTGTCTTTTGCAAAAGAGAAAAATGTATAAATTCTAAAGCAAATGTAATATCTTTTGACATAGTTTTAGACCTCCCACACAGTAAGCTATGGGAGCCAATAATCTAAAACCAAGATATGTTTAAATCACTGAACAAAGCTTTTGCCTTTTTATACATCTTGTATTGTGTAATAGAAACAATATGAGCTGGTTGTGGACTATCTAGATTTCTTTAGCCAACTCTTTGTCCATTCTATGACGCAGTTATTATTTTTCCTGATATAAAATCCATTTTAAGTAAAAAGATATAATCTAACATAGTCTGCCAACAGACCACCAATATAGTAATGAAAAGAATGTGATCTATTTTTAGTACCACGTAACCTTTTAGTACCTGATATTAGGTCCAAAATTGCACTGAAGCAAAGAACTGATAGAGTGATACCAGGGCAAGAAAACATTTTGCTGGAACCTGTTTCCTTGTCTACAAATCAGAATCACAGTTGAACCCAATCCTGCAAATGTTTAATATAAAGCATATTGCTTATTACTGCCACATGTGTCCCATCAACCTCAAAATACAAAGCCCTATGCTCAGCCTTAAATTTTGCTGGATCAGGGTCTATGGAA